TATCCGGGCTTACAGTGTATATTCTCTGTAATAAAAGTCTTGTTTCACTACTTAGCTTCTCTTAGTATGATATATTGCCATTCTTGCCTTAATCCTGTGTTCTTTTTGCTTTATTCTTCCATATTTTGTACTACAATGTATCATTGTTTTTTTTTAATATAGACCCACACCATCTGCACTATTCATGATCATGAACAATAAGTATGGCTATAAACACTATGTATGATTATGCTTTGCATTCCACAAATAGTAGTTGCTGTTTAAAACTATATACAAAGTCACACTTCATTTCACAGCTCTGCATCAAATTACAGTAACTTTCCAGTAAAAGTACCATTATTGTGGATTAATGTATTGGGAAAATGTACTTATTGTACAATTTTTACATCTCTGTCACCTGCACCTGTAATCTATATTTTCAGATTTTGCTTCAGATTTTCAGCAAAAAAAGTAACTTTTCTGCATTAAATGTTAAAATAAACCATATATTTCTCACATTAAATAGCCCCTAGGTGTGAGTGTATCCTGCCTTCCACCCAATGATTGCTGGGACAGGCTCCAGCTGCCCCCGCGACCCAGAAGGATAAACAGCTTAGAAATGTTTGTATTTCTCACATTAGTTAGTCTTTACTTTAAAAAAATAAAACTTGTAAAGTTTGCACCAAGTATTATTTGCCATTAAATTATTGTAAATTACTGTAAATTAAATTGCTACCAAACCTGCACTATTTTTTCACTAATCTTTTGTTTTTTATGTTTTGTTGTACATGTGTAAGCTCTGTGTTCACAGTGGTCACTTCCTGTCAGCTGTTGGCTGTGTACTTGTGGTTGGCTTCATGGCAGTTCCTGAGAATGAAGTCAGCTTTAGGTGTCAATCAGGTAACTATGAGGTACAAATTCCAATGTACCAGGTTATTATTAGTGGTAATATGATGGGAAGTTCCAGTACCACATATTTACCCAGATAATACAACCTGTTTGGCATTTCAGTGTAATTTAGTTAGATTGCCTTGGAACAGGCCTTGCTAGCATTATTGGCACCCTTTACTTTTTTATATAAAATTTACAATAAATGGAAAATACCAACTTTTATCATTCAAATATTTTAATAAATGTGTAAAGATATTAAACAAAAAACATCTCAACTTGCAGGAAGTGATTTTAAAGAAGAGAAACAAAATGTACCATGGAGAGTATTCATTGCACCCTTTCCTAATATTTTTTTGCACACACCTTAGCTGCAATGACAGCCTCTAAGCGCTTTTGGTAGCCATCGACAAGCTTCTTGCACCTGTCTGCTGGTAGTTTGGTCCATTGCAACAGGTCAAACTCTTGGTTGTTGACATGCTTGCAGCATGTCTTTTCCCTATGGCACATTTTAGCTCTCTCTAAAGATTTTATATGGGGTTGAGATCAGGACTCAAGGCTGGCCAGTTTAAAACGGTCCACTTCTTCCTTTGCAACCATTCTGTTCCACTTTTTAATGTGTGTTTTGGGTCTTTATCATGCTGGAGGACACATGATCTCTGACCCAAACCAGCTTCCTTACACTAGGTACCACATTTTGCTCTCAAAAAGGTCTTGGTAATCTTCTGATTTCATTATTCCTTCAATTCGGTTGAGGCCTCCAGCATCTGAGGCAGCAAAGCAGCTTTGCAACGTAATGGATCCACCACCTTGTTTGACTCTAGGTAGGTTGTTCATTTGCTTATAAGCTTCATTTCATCTCCTGTAAACAAATCACTGGTCTGCATTGCTAAAGGGTTTTGTTTTGTCTGTCCACAAAACATTTGCCCAAAAGGATTCTGTTTGTCTAGGTACATTTTGATAAAGATCAGATGTGCCTCCTTATGTCTTTCTTTCAGCACAGAGGTTTCCTTGGCCTTCGCCCGTAAAGTCCTTCTTGGTTTTATGTGTAGTAAATGGTACGAGTTGAAACCATCACTCCAGATTGCTCCAGGTCTGCCTTAAGCTGTTTGGGCGTTATAATCATGCTGTTTATTTCCTTCAAAGACTTTCCTCACTGATTTTCCTCTTTGACCCACATCTTAGGACATTTTTACAGTTCCACAAGTCATAAATGTCTTAATACCATTACGTGGTGTTGAAATAAAGATGTCAGGGACTTTGGAGATGAACTTTTACCATTCTTGGGTTTGAAGATAATAGCACTTCTGATGCTCTCAGACAGCTCTGGGATCTGAAATGGGATGAGGGAAAGTAAATTGACCTTTTAGGCATTAAAGCCAACATTCATTAGTTAATTCAAGTCATGTGAGCCCTCATTTATCACAGGTCTTATCTGATTAGAATTTATCAAAAGGGTGCCAATAATTGTGTCATGTCTATATTTTTGTTTTTATACTTTTTCCTTGTGTCACTTTTTTAAATATGTAATTTTTTAGCTATTGTGTATTGAACATGAATGTTTATTTACCGAAGATATTTCCCAACACATGTTTATTTTATGAGATATTGTATATTATGTACTTCAAATTCAGGGGTGCCCATAATGGTGGCCAGAACTGTACCATCATGTTACCCAAAATAATTACCTAGTACATTGGTGTTGGTACTGCATACTTACATGGTTAATCCCTGGAACTTTAAGGAATGTGAAAGAAAATGTTATGGAGAATGATCTACCACTAAAATATACCAAATAATACCTGCTCAGTGGTGGTCTTGACCAGTGATGAATGGACATGAAAGCACATCTAACAATTGGTACAGAGAAATAGATCAAGAACAAGCTGTAATTTTAGAACTACAAAGAACATCTACATAGAAAGTGGACCTGATAAAATGCCCAACAACGGTAACCAAAGGCCTACCTCACTCACCCACTCAATTTTCCAGGGATGGTTTCTTAAAACTGCTGTCTAAATTATGCTGTGCAAACAAGAGGTGTGTTTAAAACAAAGCTTGTTCATGTCCAGGCAAGCAGCCGGTCAAAAGCAGGATGCTCAGTAAACTCAAATCAGAGAAGTACCTCAAAAGTATTGGTGGAGGTGAATTGTAACAGCTTCTACATTGGCCTATATTTTTTCTTTCCCAATAAGATTATGATCCCATTATTCCACAGACTACAATGCTGTTTTGGTAGACATTGTTGTTCTATTAAGTGTAATGGAATGCAGAACAGGCAAACAACAACTACAATTTGCCTTTTGCTTGCCCAAAAGCTAAATTTTGTATTGGAAACCTTTTGATATGTTTTAACCATCTAACTGAGCATGTTTATATGTGCAGGTTTACTTGAAGCGATTTTCTGAAATGGTATTGTCTAAGTGTGTACATACTTGCTAATTAGATTCACCTCTGTCTTCTTAATGTTACTGTTAGAAAAAAAAACAAACAAACAAAAACAAACAAACAAAAAAACATGAATAGTAAAATAGTCTATAGCACAATTGCCAATAGTAAAATATCCAATAATTAAAGGGCCAATAGTAACATGGCAAACAGCAGAACGGCCAATAGGAAAACAGCCAGTAGGAAAATGGCCAATAGTAAAGTCTCCAATAGCAAAATAGGCAATAGTACAAAGGCCAATAGTAAAATGGCCAATACCATTTTGGCCAGTAATAAAACAGCTAGTAGCATAACAAAAAAACAAAACCAAAGACACCACAGCAAATAGCAAAATTGTCAAGAGTAAAAAAGTCAATAGTACCACAATCAATGATAAATTGTCCGACAGTAAAATGTCTATAACAAATAAAAGTTAAAAAGTCTATAACAAAATGGTGAAGAGCAAAATAGCTAATTGTAAAATGGTCAAAAGTAAATAGACCAGTAGTAGAACGGCCAGTAGTAAAATGAGCAATAGCAAAATGGTCAATAACAAAGCCAACAGTTAAACAGCCAATGGTAAAATGGCCAAATCTTAGCTGCTATCACTATCGTTTTCAGGTGAGGCCTTCCTTTAAGATTAACTTGCTCACTCAGTTGTTGTGTAAGTTGATGTGATTGAGCCTGTCAGTTCCCACTCATAGCTTACTGCAACTGACCACTCCCTCAGAAAGTATAGTAAAGTGAGGTCTGTCTGCTCCATGCACATAATTCAGATGTTGCTAAACCGGTTGATCCCTTGGCATCATATAGTGTGATGTCAGCAGAAAGGCACTACAGTATACACCAATGAAAAGCAGCCAGATTAAAGACTTTAATATATTACATTGCTGTCCAAAAACAGACATAGTATAAATGTAAACGGTACTTTATTGTACTTTAATGTAGTTTTATTTTTTTTAAACTAATGCTGCTAATATAATTTCCACAGTATTATATATACTCTGAAATGCACTGTGAATCCAAACATTTAGGTTTTAATCACTTTATCTTTCTGCAGCACATTAATGTCACATAAAAAGTCCAATAAATGCAATAAGAAATTTAAGTTGAAGAGTTATTGTCAAAACATAATCATGTAATGTTTAGGATTTCAACACTGGTATTTATAAGATATACAGTCCAGCTTTCTGACATCTCAGCTGGGAGAATTGCAGTGTTAGGATTTCAAAGTGTCTAAAATCGCAATATCATGGCTGTTTAACATTAGTTGCTTAGTTAGCTTAATCACTTCTTATTGTTTTGTTTAATCAGAGTAGAATATAACACTGATGTGTGAAGTATGGTGCGACTTATGTGTTTACTTATTCAAAATGATTTTCATACCGTAAATAAAAAGACAAAATCTTTGTGAGATCACAACTTTGTGAAAGGGCTTAATTTCTTCTACATGCTGTAAACCAGAAAGGCCTCTAGAGCTTGTTTTCATCATATGAATCTCTATCATTGATGTAAACATGATAGTAAAACCTTTTGTTTCTTTAGTTTTAGCTATTTATAATACTAAACATAACAATGATAAAAAGAACAAGATCAACAAGAACAACAGTAACAAGAAAAAAAGAAGTGAAATCTTAAGTTTCACAACAGAAAGAGCTGAACAGTGGAGGGTGGGGCTTCAGTGAGCAGTACGTGTCAGGTTGAATCGGGTGTAACTGGATATTTGCTGGGGGTGGAGCATTCAAGTTGGTCGACCTGCTGCAGCTTTGCTCTGCGCTCCTTTGAGGAAGGAGGAACAGACGAGTAAATGATGATGGTAGGTTTCCTTCAAAGAATTTTAACCACGCTGTTTGAAACACTTTAGTCAAAGCTAACTTAACTCTGTAGTTAAAATAAGCTTTAGTGTAAGTCCTGGGTAGAACATCAGTGCTGTGTATGACGGGCTGAGGCTGTATGGACTCAAATTGGAAAGAGAATACGGTTAGGAAGATACAGTTGAGGCGTGTTCTGTTTTTCGAATACCTGCCATTAAGATACACTTCTTGTTAACATCTTTGAGGCAGATCTTATGAAATAGAACCAAGTGAAGTATAAAATTAGTTCATGCCATCTACAAGCACTCACGTCAATATATACAAGGAAATGAAGCTGTGAGATCGGTCTGGGCTGGCTGAACACAAGTGTGAGGATGTAGAAGCCATAGCTAGAGGCACATGTGTGACTTTGTGACTTGCCGCAGAGCCAGTCTTAAGGAGTTATCGAGAGTGGAATCAGGAAATGATGGTAGATATTATCCTAATTAAAGTCTCTGATATTTCAGCTAAGAGAGCTTAAACAGTATTTTGTTTGCATTGCTGTAAACGCTTGAGGGGATTTGTTAACCTGTTCTCTCCTGCTCTTTGTACTTTCTCATACTCTGGAATCATAAATCTGGAAGTTATGGCCACTTTTTACTGTGATAATAGTGAAATATCTTAACATGGTAGATGTTTTTGTCTGAGTTTCTCTAAATGCATTAACAAACTATTTGACATATTGGAGTCCATTTTGCATACGAACATCTTGCTATGAGAAATAAGACATTATGCCTTTAGATATAAGTGATGATAAATATCCTCCCGCAGATCATATAGACCCAGAAAGTAGTGGTGGGCAGTACTGAAGTAAATGTAATTTGTTACTGTACTTAAGTAGTTTAAGTGTATCTTTACTTTACTGAAGTATTTCCATTTTGGGCGACTTTTTACTTTCACTCCGCTACATTTTAAAGTCAAATATCTTACTTTTTAGTCCAGTACATTATGCAAAATCTGTCGTTCCTTTTGGTTTATGTGTGTATAAAAACGTAACATGACAAAACGAAAGAAGCGTGAAGCAAGAACACCAATCAGGGTATCATGTTTCTTTTTTCTGAATTCATACAAACAGTATTTCATTTTCTAGTAAATTTGTTTTTGCTAGTTTATGTTTATGAACAGAGACCTACAGATGCAATTTAGTAAAGGAAAACTCATTTGTGAACCTGAGTTTAAAGCAAGTTTTTATTCAATTTAAACTTGTAACTAAGTTGCAAATAAATCTTAAACTGAAACTTTGCTTGTTCAGAAAAAGTTACTTCATATCCACTTGATTCTACCTGATGGAAATTCTTTGCCTTCAGTGTTTTGTGCTTATGATAACTTAATAGACATCAGTGTCCGACTATTTAATAACATTCTATTAAAATATTGGTATATTTTCACCTAAAATGAGTTGATAAAGCAAAAGTCTTGTTACAAAAATGGTAATAGGACATCAGAGCCATAATTAATCTTTTAGTACTTTTACTTTTGATACTTAAGTACATTTGAAGGCAAATACTTTTGTACTTTTACTCAAGTGGAAGTCTAAAGGGAGGTCTAAAGAAAGAGGTTCGAGTGACTATATTAGATTGTGTTAGATTGCATTAGAGCAGGAAAATTACAGATTGCAGATCAGTGGTTCTCCAGAACCAGGACTCTGAACAACAAGACGATTTTTTTCTTAAAATATGATTTTAAAGTTCACTTGTATATCTCTGTTGTCGGATGAAAACCTTGTATCTCCAAAATGGTAACTTTACAGGAGAAGGAAAAAACCTACTTCACTTTTAATGTAAGTCAATGGAACCAGAATTTTTTCCAAGTGATTTTGGGCTGCTTCTTTTGGTCCATTCTTCTTGAAATTTACACAACAGGAATTTTCACATTATGTCAAAAACAAAAAATGGATTTATGAGGTTTTCTTCCATCAGCAGCAGTGTAGTGTGAAATATACCATGAGAGCGATATAGTTACCCACCTCCTTTTCAGAATTCAAAAATTCAAGTCAACTTAAAATTATAAGGTAACTGACTTCACAGTTTTTTTTGAGTTAACACACCTTAATTTAAAGATCTTCAGTCTTTACTGCTGCATCTCAGTCGGGTCAACAATACAATTTAAATTGAGCTTACTCAAAATCAGCCGTTATATGTGCTGCCTCATTGTCAGTTAAATTTGCTTTGTTTCCTCAAGTTAGGCAGGTTATTCTGAATGCTATTACGTGGTATCTTTGGGCTGGGGGAGGGGCAGGATATCCTGCTTTCAGACTCCCACCTATGGAGGGCTGTGGCTTCACTGAGGATGGAGTTCCTGATCTGATCCTGTTTCAGTGTGAATAAATATTTGACACTTTTCTGAATAAATTTACTTTTCTTTCTTTTGTTATACACTAATGTATAAACTTCCAGTTTAAGTGTGATGCAACTGTTTAACTGCCCCATCCTCAGAAGAGCCAGAGTTTGAATCCTGGTAACAAAACAGCCCTCCATGCTCAGGAGTCTGAGAGTAAAAGGTTCCCACCCCACCATCTTAGGGACTTAGAGGGGGAGACCTAATCTACAGGTGGGGATTAGCAAGGATTAATTTAAGAGGAGAAGGACACTGAGTAAAAATCCAAAAAACAGCAATGCAGAACTACAAAATAGGAGTCACGAGAACAATAAACTAAGCTGCATAAACTCAAAAAAGCTGTGACATCAGTTACCTTAAACTTTTAAGATGATCTCACTTTAGTATCGCTATTTTTTAATATTTTGTAATGTGTCACTCTGACAATGGAAGCCAGTGAAGAGCTAGTAAAGTATAGTTATTTTGAATAAGTTCTACTTTCAATCCAAACTGTTTGTAAGAACCATACTACTCTAGCCACTTTATTAGGTACACTTGCCTTGTTTCTACACTTATTGTCCATTTTGTCAAGTCCACTTGTCATGCAGGTACACACTGTAGTTCTACAATCACTTTAATCATTTTAGTCTATCGGTTTGTCTATCAATGGTCAGCACTCCCGCAGGACCACCACTGACCTGGTATTTTTGGTTGTAGATCATCCTCTGTGGTGCAGTGACACTGACATAGTGTGTGTTGCACTGGAATGAGTGGATCAGACACAGCAGTGCTGCTGGAAGTGCTGGTTTTTGAACAACTCAATGTCACTGCTAGACTTAGTTCACCAACTAAAAATGTCCGCACAACAGCGTCATCCTATCGTGAACTATAAGATGACCAACACAAGTTTTGCAGCAACAAACAAGCTATCATCTCTATGTCTACAAAGTGGTCAAATAGGAAAAGTGCATCTAATAGAGTGGACAGTAAGTGTTTAAAAAAATTATCAGCACTTATGTGTTTGATACACTTGTACCAGTGCAACACAAACTAACATACTACTACCATGTCAGTGGGAATGGTCCACTATGTAAGTACTACCTGCTGACTATTGATGGACAGCTTCAAAGACTGCTAACACATTAACTGAAATTTGTAATTGTAAAACCACAAAGTGAACCTATTTGGCAGGACCTGATAAAATAAAGGGGGACTGTAGATGCAAAGCAACTGTAGATACTATTAAAGTGGTAATGAGTGTGTTTCTAGGAAAACTGAGTTAACATGCGTGTGTGTCAGTGGTAATGGGGGATGAGCATTTTGTATCCCCTTCCTAGAGTTAAAGCATGTTCAGAGCTGTACATGAGATTTTTAAGCAAGTAGCGCTGACACAAGCAAAACATGCAGGTGTGCACAAATTTAAAAAGTGTAGCACTTCAAAAAGTAAATAAATAAATAAACAAGCACTTTTTGAAGTCCATAACAAGACTTCTGTTAATCCCAATAAGTGCAACAATTTGTGATCTTAACTCTGCAAAAGTTTGTACAAGCTTAAATGTTAATGATCATTCTGTGAAATTTACAGATTATTTTTTATGAGAGGGAGGAAACCCACACCAGCAGAATCTCACAAATGCACTAATTATTTCCAATTGAGAAGCAAGATAATTGCCTAAAGGTAAGACTCAATATTATTTTATGTGTGATTTTGAATAGAATTAATTCAGTCTAAAAGAGATATTGGCGAAGACCACAAAGACAAGGTTACCAAATCCAGAGAAGATTTTATGCTGACTGAATTTTTTTTTTTTTGCACAATTTAACATTTTCAGACATTGCTGGCTTTACAAATACAATTATACCCCACCCCCACCTCCAACACAAAAGGGTAATGCTTACTTTTACAGTCTCCTAAGTTATAAACATGTAACTCTGATGTACAAAATCGAAGAACTAGATTAATATTTTGAGCAAGATGATTTGTAAATTCCAATACAATTTAAGAAAAGTTCTCTGAAATGAAACAGATTCTAGACATTCACTGAGTGAGTGCTTGGTACAAACTACAAAAAGCTGTGTAATTATTTTTTTGGTAAAGTGTAAGTACCAAGTCAGTCTAAATAAATTACAGATCAGATTCTGGCAATTAGTCTGATAAAGCAAAAAATAATATATATCATAATTATTTGTAGTCATAAGGTTGTAAAAACAAACATGCTCACTAATTTTTAATGTAATGTCAAGCATTTAAGTGGGAACATACACTGGAAATGTCACTAAATACCAGGTAAGATATAAGGCATAAATGACAGCACAAAGTACTTTGAAGTAAATGGTAAAAATCCATTAAACCAATAGAAAGATTGATTGCTTTCTTTTAAAGCCCATATTCAGAGGAAGTTATGGGTAACAGGCACATACTATGTGAGACTGTTTGTACTTTGCTCATGTACATTGGACATTTCTCTTTGTTGCAAAACTCTTGAGTTATAAACATTTGAATAGGTTATATTGGCTTCAGTTTACCTGAGGGACTATAACTACAATAAACACTATTTCAACTTGTGTCGACTGTGCATGAGGAGACTGGACAAAAGTTCTTCTGCATGCTCTCCGACTATGATTTTTGCACAGGATGAATTTTTCCTAGCATGTGTGCCAATATTGTCACACTGTTCAGCCCTGATGAGAGGAAAAATTAATAAAAAAAAAAATTACTGTCAGGTGTTTGTTGATTGAAGAAATTGTGCTTCATTCTTCACTTATAATCTTGTAAGGTAAATTGTTTGAAACTTCCATTTTTTCACAGTCCTGTTTCCTTTTTTCCAGAAACGATGACGCCTACTTCACCTAAACCATTTCAGGGTTTTCTAATAGTCACATGCTGGCTTGCTGGATTTGGCACATGTTTGCTGTTTTTCCAGTATATGTCACACAACTGCTCATCCCGCCCTTATATCCCCTATGGTGTACCACACGTTACACCATCTAACAAAATCTCAAACAACAGTAATCCAGCTCCCACTACCCCTCCAGCTGCTCAGCCAGAAAAACCCATCTTACTGCTGTGGGTCTGGCCTGAGAACTACAAGTGGGACTTCAGTGACTGCAAAACCTTCTACAACATTGATGGATGTCACCTGACGGATGATAGAAGCCTGTATAATCAGGCAGATGGGGTTCTCATCTTCCACAAAGCTATCAGTTGGGATCTGAGCAACCTTCCTCCATCCCCTCGTCCTTCTTTTCAAAAATGGATCTGGTTCCACGTCGAATCGCCAACTAATACTAAGAGAATTCCAGGTCTGGAAAACCTCTTCAACCTCACGCTTGGTTACAGACGCGATGCTGACATCTCTGTGCGAAATCTACTGACCGTCAGCAAAACCCCAAACGAGGAGTTTGAACCCCCGAAGAAAGACAAGCTCGTCTGCTGGATTGTGTCCAACACCAACCCCAGTACTGGAACAGGAACCAGGATGAAGTACTATGAGGAGCTCAGCAAACACGTAAAAGTAAATGTTTATGGAAATATGGCTGGATCGCGTATGAAGGACGAAGATTACTACCCTACCCTAGCCAGCTGTAAGTTCTACCTGTCGTTTGAGAATTCCGTCCATAAGGACTACATCACTGAGAAGTTCAATGGCCCACTTACAGTAGGGACTGTGCCTATTGTTTTGGGACCCTCAAGAGAAAACTATGAACAGTTTGCTCCAGGTGATTCGTTCATTCACGTGAATGACTTTCCTAATGCATCAGCATTGGCTGAGTATCTACTTAAACTGGACAAGGATGATGAGGCTTACAGACGGTACTTTGATTGGAGAAAACACGTCTCTGCGACTCGTCATTTAATCCTGTGGAATCAGGAGTTTATTTCGTATATTTGTCATGCCTGTGAATATATGGGCATACACAGAGAGTATAAACAAGCACACAATATCTATGACTGGTACTTTTCATGACCGGTAGTTCTTAGTCAATTTTGCAAATGCTGAAAAATGATACAAATGGTAACAGTATTCGAAGGCTATCGACATAGGCAGTGTGATACATGCATAAATATTAAATTGCTTACAGAGGAAATATTGAATACTCAAGTTTTACACACTGTATCCAATGCTTTGTATTTGATATATAAGCAACAAATATTGTAGTATTCACTCCTAAAAAAAGAGCTTTTGCACAAGTCGTGGTGCTTTATTAACCAGCTGTTGTTGGCCACAGCTACACTGCACATAAGCAGTTTTCTCTAACAGTTTTTTCGAAACCTAAACTCACATCTGCCTTTCTTAGTGCTCAGCTCTGACTGGGTCAGTTCTTCCTGCTCCACACACATATCTGCCTGGATGGACACAGCCCTGCTCTTCAGAATAAGAGTCCTTAGCAGAATAACCCCATAAATGCTGCAGAACACATAACCTAAAATTAACATGTAAAACATTCTTGAACAGGCTGCAATACATTGTTCCTTGCATATGCCTTTACATATTATATGGCAATAATTGAATATTTCTGAACAGCTTATGCTGAGTGACAATATATTGATATAAAGGGACCTTAATGTGAAGTGTAACACTTTACATTGGTAATGCTAAATAGATTACATGGCAAAAGTTAGCATGTGACATGAGCATCAAATGTCATGGTATCGGCCATGACAATTTTCGATATTGGTAATATCATTAAATGGCATATGACATCTGCACTTGCATGTTCATGGCATGGTTATGTCAGTGTTATGTATCAAGGTTCATGTAAAATGTTATCATCTTAGGTGACAGAAATTTGTTCCATTAATAACACTGTTATGAAGCATCTTTCCCAAGTCCAGGCTTGGTTAAAAACACCAAACATCAGTTCTTGGTGACACAGTTTTTCTAGAAAAACACTCATTGGCCTCTTCATTAGTATCTACAGCTACTTTGTATCTACAGCCATAGTCTATTTTATGAGGTCTACCTCTATAAACCTATTCCCATATCAGAAAACCTAGAGATGTCTCCTTAATAACTGCACTATTGAACAGGTTTATTACCTGTGAACAATGTTTCATAACAGTGTTATAAATGGAACAAATGTCCATCATTTTAGTTCAAAGCCCATGTCACTGATTTCATAAAGTGTCTGGTCATCTTGTAGTTTCTGACATAAGCTGGTCAAGCATATCAAGTACTCCTTTATAATTATGTTATTCAATGCTTATGCTTGTGTTATGAAGTCCCTATGTAGGTAGCCTCCACATAAATGGTTGTTATATTGTGTTACCATTACATTATGAATGCAAATGATAAAATGTTATTGTTTTCGAATGGTGAGTTGCTTATTTTTATTTTAGAAAGGAAAAAGGGGAACAGTTATATTCTATTGTTTACAATGGAACGAATACCAAAATGAATGAAATGTGACTATTGCACTTTTGCTGGATTGGTGTTGGTTACTTGCATGGTACAGAGGCTGACTTGGACTTCTTGTGATTTTCACAAGCTCTACAATGACAGTTGCTAGTGCATCTCAATGCTCCACCTACCTCAAAATCCTGGTGCACCTGCTTCTAATTATGATAGCCACAAAGGGCTACATCCAGCATACCCAACCTAGCAGACATTTGCATCTGCAGCCAGTCTCTGCCCTGCGTTCTTGATAAACATGAAGTACGAACATACTTTTAGAGAACTTTGTTTTTTTCATAGCCTTTTTTGTACATAAAATAAAGCTACTTAACTCTTTAAAAAGGCTAAAGCCTAAAGGTTTTATTACACACTTCTACAACCATAGAAAAGCTCAACCAGTTTGCATTCCATGCAATTAAAGATTAGTAAGCTTTCGTATTGTAAAATAGTAGTCTTGGGATTTTAAGGGGTTAAATGTTTTTAAAGATTTTGTGAAATTGTTCTTGGCATGGACATACCATTCTACTAAGCCAGACGGAGAAAATGCACAAAAACAGTGCTTTTTTCTGCCATTTAATTTGCTCTTGGTCATTAATAATGAAAATATAAGAAAATGATCAACTTTGGCAATAAATGAATTTTACTTAGCAGATGTTGCTGCTTTTTAATCTGCTTTAATCTGTGTGTTGTATTTATTTGATGAATAAAGATGAGATCTGATAAAGCAGAAGATCTGTAGATTTGTATGTAGTTAGTCTCCCACCTCTTGGACATGCAAACACATGAATACGAATATAAGTCACATGTCATTTTGGTTTGCACTTTATTTTAAGGAACATATATTGGGCCTTTTTTAAGATATTGTTCTTCGTTCAGTGAAGCTCAGATAAAGCTTTATTCATTATGACCTGTATTGGTACATAACTAGAGGTCTGTTATGTAAAAACAGCTGATAATTGCATTGCTAGTTGTATTAATCACACACACGCACCATCTAAACCGCGTATCCTTCTGGGTCACGGTGGGTGGGGAGTGCTGGAGCCTATCCCAGCTGTCATTGGGCAGAAGGCAGGATACACCCTGGACAGGTCTAGTTGTATTAATCAGAGGTTGCTAAATATTATTAGCTAGATCAATATTATAAATGCTCTCCTGAAATAAGTGACAAATATTCTCATGTAGAGAAAAATGTGAATGTTGTTGAACGTTTGACTGTCTAATCAAATGACATGGCACAAGTTTTCACTCCTGGATGCTACCCTGTTGTTCTATGACACTGAAAGTTGGACTTTGGTTTTGATGTGTGCGCTATGATGTTTTGTTAAGGAGCCCTTTTATTTTACAGCGTAGTGGAAAAAATAACAAAGCCAACCTGCTTATCTGGTTTTGTAATTAAAAAACCCTGTCATGGGTCACCAAACATGCTTGTGTGAACTTGCCTTGGAAACTCCAACCTAGAACCTGTTCACATTTTCTGCTTACTAAAGTTAAAGCAAGAAAATAGAACATATCTTTCCAATAACATATTTTTATAAGTTTGTGAACAACTGAAAATGTATGTGTTGAACCTTTCTGAGGTGCACATGATGCATTAATGCACTGTAACACATGGAGTACTTTCCTCATGAGCTGATTGTGAAGAAGACATCCTGTAGCAACTGCTGTCAAAAACTCTCTTTGGAAATAAGGTGGAATATGACGATTGCTCAACTGCAGCTGAGCTGATCCTCTTTGTGTTTCATTAAACTCATGGCGTCAATAAGGAACACTTTAAAATAGCAGTGGAGTCAGATTTTCTTGGCCTACTTAGCAAGAAAGTGAACTAGCAAGTTTCCTGAAATTCTATAGAAGCCTTTGCTGACGTGGATCGGCAAGATGTTTCTCCCCGATTGACTCATGGCCAGATCCCACACACTACCTAGGTCAGATGATACTACCAAACTGGGAGGGTGTGGGTTGCTAGCACATGCTTCCCCCAAGTCACGTGAAGCACCACCATATCTTTTCAAACTGCTAATGAAGTGTCAGCTCAACACGTTTGGTGGGAAGCACAAACTGCCGATTCTATTACAACAACCAACAGATTCACATGTTGGTTGGCATTGTGATGAGTGACAGGTGGAAAGGGAGGACCATCCTGTCCACCCACAGAGAGAGAGTGAGGCCAATTACACTCTTTTAGACTCCTTGCCACAGATGGCATCATTGAACTTACAATTTCCCATCACTTGGGATTTAAAGGTTACTAAATGGTTCATGACTTAGATGTATGGTTATTAAACAAAATGGTATAGAACTTTTACTTTTACAGTATGTGAAGGATGTACAGATTTTACAAATATACATCTATACATCCATATATATATATATTATATATATATATATATATATATATATATATATATATATATATATATGCATAATATTATGACCACCTCCTTGTTTCTACACTCATTGTCCATTTTATCAGCTCCACTTACTATATAGGTGCACTTTGTAGTTCTACAGTTACAGACTGTAGTCCATCTGTTTCTCTGCACACTTTGTTAGCCCCCTTTTACCCTGTTCTTCAGTAGTCAGGACCCCCATGGACCCTCACAGAGGGGGTACTATTTGGGTGGTGGATCATTCTCAGCACTGCAGTAACACTGACTTGGTGGTGGTGTGTTAATGTGTGTTGTTCTGGTATGAGTGGATCAGACACAGCAGTGCTGCTGGAGCTTTTAAACACTGTGTCCACTCACTGTCCACTCTATTAGACACTCCTACCTTGTCAGTCCACCTTGTAGACGTAAGGTCAGAGATGATAGCTCATCTGTTGCTGCGCAGTTTGTATTGGTCATCCTCTAGGCCTTCATCAGTGGTCACAGGACGCTGCCCACAGGACACTGTTAGCTGGATATTTTTGTTTGGTGGACAATTCTCAGTCCAGCAGCGACACTGAGGTGTTTAAAAACTCCCGCAGCACTGCTGTGTCTGATCCACTCAGACTCAGGAAACTTTATTTTACCTTTTAGGGCTTCTGTAGATAAGACAGCTTTAAATAAGTTTTAATATTTTTCCTGTCCTTTTTTTCTCCTTTAATTGCATTGAGGATAATGAGAGTTGGTCTATATGCAGTATCTAATATTACTGTCCATGTGCTCATTTTTATAGTGAACACACAGGGCGCCATAAGCAGTGGCTAGAATGGCAACAATCACAGCACAGGACACATGTGAAATGAGTAAAACAATCAACATACAGTAAATTACAATAACTTTGAGGTGCACTTCATAAAAGTAGAGAGAAAGAGAAATGTTATAACAAAGGTTTAGCATAGAAGCAAACCAAGTCCAGTGCTTAAGTTAGTTTAGTTAGTAACATCCCTACAGAAAGTAATAATTATGTGCATTCATAATACAAAATTCTTTGGCTTTCAATGTTCTGGGGAATTTGTGAGAACAACATCCTTGTGTAAAACATCTACACCATAGCAGTAAAATCACTGATATCCATGCAATGATCTGTAGTACAGCCTCCAGTGGTAGGAACCATGCTGAAAATAAGAACATTTAAAAGCTATTAATTGCAAGAAAATAATGGACATTCCTTCATTCATACATGTGTATGTATATACCACAAATTCCATGTTGTTCTAAACTATTTCCCATAATTGACAAATTGTTGCATCACTTCTCTTCATCAGAAACAAATTAGAGATTTTAAGATTCTAGTTCTTTATTAAAGAAAATGATTCAATATAGGACAATAGCACCCAGAAAGGTTCTTCATTTGTTACAAGCTTGACATTGTTTTCAAATACTGACACTTTTCGAAAAAGGGTTCTATATACACAGAACCCTTTTTTTGAAAAATGTCTATATAGAACCATCTACAGCACATTATTAAGAACCCTTTTATGATGCAAAGAGCCCTTTAATCATGCTGAGTGTTCTTTGAGTGTTCATGGATCAATATAGAACCTTATTTTCTTAACTAAAGAACCCTTGAAGAACCATCTTTTTGAAGTGTAAATTATTCCAATGTTAGAAAAACCTGCTATATACACACTACTTAGAAATGTTGTGTGCCATGCATATAGTATACAATACCAAGAAGAATGTCACTCACACAGCCACTTGAGAGAACATAGTTATGTTTCATTCTGTTTCTTTCTTTCTTTTTTCTTTGTTTGTTCGTTTGTTTGTTCGTTCATTTCCTAATATTTAATAATAGCAAGCTCCAATAAATATTTTCCTATAATTGTTAGCAGCATAGGTAATGATTAAGTTGCTGTTTAATAGGACTTGCTATTATACATTTATAAAAAGAACCAACTGAAAGATTAATGATTATTTAGAGATGATAATTAATAATTATTTTGAATGGTCTTATTTTATACTCATAATTCATAAATTATATAACATCAAATATTAAACATTTACTTAGCTGCAAAAGCTACTAACATAATTATGAATAATTAGTTAGTATTTATCTATGTCATGTTTTAAGTGATTAAGCAGGTTTTAATCTTGCTGCTTTGTGATACAGAAACATCCCCTTAATGCTTCCCTTGTTTATTCATTATTAGGTTAATGTATACTTTTTAAAAACATCAAAAATGATTAACCTCTATTGTAAAAATATGACTTCATAATGTTTTAAGAAAATATATCATGTTACTGATTACATTTAAATTTATCAAAGCAACAGTTCAAATGGTAGCATTTATTAATGCACAAGTAATAATCACATACTATCACTAACAAACTGTTAGTTAATGATTGAGTTCCTTTTTATAGGGAGCTGTTTTTATAGTGTTACTGTAGCAGTGAACATGCTATATGCTTTGCTGTTTCATTACTGTGTCATCACTTTCATTTAGAAAATAAAAGTCTCACCATGCTTCTGTTTGATTCTTTGTGAAGTTTCACTATCATTATAACTGTTAAGCATGGTGTGAAATACACAAAAAAGATTCTTTAACCCTTAGAAACCAAAAACTTTGGGGGGTTTTTTTGGTAATTTTTGGGTCAATTAAAGTTAGAATTGCAATTATAAAGTATTCACATGTGACAGTCACACATGCCATATGTTGTTATTTTCAGGAGACCATGCGCTACTCCGATATGCCATTGCTTGACATGTAAATGCTAACAGAAATTTGATATCTATATGAATTTGGGTCATTTCAGATCAAAAAAT